ATAAGGACATACTATGCAGATGTGCATATCATCAGGAAATATTGATTCAACTTTTTATGCCGTAGCAAAGGGGCATTAAATTTTACCCTTGTCCGTCTGTACGTCCATCCGTCCCAAAGTTGGTTTTCGTTCTCTAACTTTAGTGTGCCTCTACCAAATGTTAAAACTTATACACAATGCTTATTACCACAAAACACAGTTGGAGTTTTAATTTTGGTGGCGTCACGTTAACCGTTATAGAGTTATGCCCCTTTATAAATGGAAAAATTGCTGAATTTTTTGTTTCTGTTCTCTAACTTAAGTTTGCCTCAACCAAATGTTATGAAACTTATACACAATACTTATTACCACAAAACTCAGATCAAGTAAAAATTTTGGTAGTGTCACTTTTACCGTTCTTCAGTTATGTCCCTTTATAACTTTATATGATATGCAAGCAGGGGCATCATCTGTGTCCCATGGACACATTCCCCATTTATTTATAGAAGTTATGCCCCTTTGAACTTAGAATTATAGCCTAAATATACCACTGTAACATTTTGTCATCACAACTCCTCTGAAACCAGACAACAGAATTTCATAAAACTTTGTAGATAGTTAGGGCATATTATGTTGATTTGCATATTGACAGGAAATTATGATTCAATTTGTTTCTAGGAGTTATCCCCCTTTGAACTTAAAATTTCTGTTAAACACAGTTATATACTACTGCAACAGTTTGTCATCGCAACTCCTCTGAAACCAAACAACAGAATTTCCTGAAACTTTGTAGATAATAAGGACATAATATACAGATGTGCATGTCCACAAGAAAATATTATCAGTTGGCTTTTGTAGGAGTAATGAGCCTTTGAACTTAGGGATCTAGTGAGATTTTGTTGCCTGTGACAATATTTTGGGTGTGGTGTATGTGAGCTTGCTCACAAAGGTTCTTTAATTGTTACATTAATTTGTCTACTCCTGAATATGCATGAAATATTTCCCACTTGAAATTCAGCAAACAATAATCAATAACTCATTCTTTATAAGTTTTCAAAATGATGCATATCAAGTTATAGCCACTACATTATTACAAATCTAGAGTGTTTGGCATCATATGTGTCAAACACACAAAAATTTCAGATGTAGATTGATTGAATAACATGATAAACCACAAATCAGTGCTGGCCATGCAGCTAGTTCATAGTAGGGAATGAAGGATTTAGTTAGTTACCTTTTGCATACAAAAAATAATACATAGATAAGTTAAGTTTAGTATATTTTTGTATGTTAAAGGTGATAAAAGTACTTGTTTACATGTATTTCATTGAAAAAAAATCAGTAAATTTTATGAAAAATTCACACCATATTGACTTAATCTTCAAGTAGATAAAGTACGGAAATTTTTGCCAAAAGTTTTGTTACATTTATTCAGTACTTAAGCACTGGAGAATCCAGATATAGGTTGGTTGTTCACCAAATAAAAACTGGCAGCTATTATATAGCAAGAATGGTGAAAGTGCCATTAAACCCAACCCTTAATCAATCAGAATAGAAAATTATGTAGAGTTACAATAAATGGACAACTATAGTAAAGTGCATGGAGGCCGGAGATAAGTATTTGTCACCTTTTATTCTTCAGTATATATTATTTTGACTTGAAAAGTTGGAATTTTCTGTTTATATCTACTTAATTAAATGGTAGATAATTATCATGCCTGTTCACATTAAACAATAAACAGCTGCGCCATGAGCGCATGATACGCCCGTCGTCTTGTGTGTGAATTTTTATGCAATAAGCATAAATAGTTTCTGACATACGGTGTGACATGCGAAAACCCCCTTTTTTTTTTTACAAAAAACTCAATATCTATAAAATAAAATTTTGAATCAAAACCAAAAAGTATACAGATCTTTAGATTAATATAACTAAGAAGTGTGTAAAATTTTAAGCAATAATCATAAATCATTTTTGAGATACGGCGCGACATGTGAAAACACCCCTTTTAAAAAAAAAAATCAATATCTCAAAAATAAAATTTTGAATCAAAACCAAAAAGTATACAGATCTTTAGATTAATATAACTAAGAAGTGTGTAAAATTTTAAGCAATAATCATAAATCATTTTTGAGATATGGCGCGACATGTGAAAAACCCCTCCCCCTTTTTTTACAAAATACTCAATAACTCAAAAATAAAATTTTGAATCAAAACCAAAAAGTATACAGATCTTAAGGTTAATATAACTAAGAAGTGTGTAAAGTTTTAAGCAATAATCATAAACTGTTTTTGAGATACGGCGCGACATGTGAAAAACCCCTCCCCCTTTTTAACAAAATACTCAATTACTCAAAAATAAAATTTTGAATCATCACCAAAAAGTATACAGATCTTAAGATTAATATAACTAAGAAGTGTGTAAAGTTTTAAGCAATAATCATAAATTGTTTTTGAGATACGGCGCGACATGTGAAAAAAAACACACACCTGTTTTAGTTACTAAGTCCCATAACTCAAAAAGTTTTAATCTTATTTTCACCAAAAAGTATACAGATCGTTTGACCATCATAAGAAACAACTATGTTAAGTTTCATGAAATTTGGATAAGTCATTCTCAAGTTACGGTGCGACATGTTTACGCCGGACAGACAGACGGACAGACAGACAGACGGACGCCGGACATTTGTATAACATAATACGTCCCGTCAAAAATTTGACGGGCGTATAAAAATGAAAAAGACAAATTTATAATCAGATAAATAAAATTCAACTGCATTTTCTACATCTGTTTTGTAACTATCAAAACATAAATGCATTTAAAATATTTTTTTACAAAAATGTATTATTTTATGAAATGAATAACAAAAACTGTAGGTGACAAAGACTTGTGTCTCTGCATGTACTGTAATTTACATCAACTTGGCTTTAACCTGTTATCAACTAAAACCGTTTAAAAATAAATGTAAACCAGATGTTATAACTTGGTTGTACAGGTTCCTATTCAGTGCCCACTTCATGAATCTTATGGGTAAATGAAGGGTAACTCTGTTCACTAATCAGTTTGAAAAAAATATGAAAACACCATCTACATTAAAGTTATAATGATAGAAACATCAGACTCAAGTTAGTAAACATATAATTTTTTACGGTTTATATAAATGTCTATATAGAAAGTTTTAACATCCTGATATGGTCACATTATAAATCTTATTTTTTCTGCCATCTGGTGTAAAACATCCTATGTAGAGTTGTCCTGTTGGAGAGAATGCAAGAGACATTGGGGACATTATGTTTATGTCACTTGTTTTATAATATGTCATCAATATGCCAGAATTGTTCAGGATATGAAGTGTACTAATACCTGTATCAGCTACAATAACATTGTCTCTAGGTGTTGTCACTATGCCTGTTGGATAGAATTGTCTGTCCTTGTTTATCTCTGTATCTCCTGTATAGATATTGATTATATCACCATCCTGTCCTAACACTACTACTCTGCCTCTGTCATCACTTACTCTATCCACCACATGAATATTCCCATGAATGGTTCTGGTTATACTCCTGGGAAAGGTAAATATAGGTTGTTTATGTTGATCATGTTCATACACTCTCTCATGAACTCCATTCTGATTCATCAGTATTACAGCTCTTCTTCCTTTACCACCACCTCCTACTAGAACTTTATTGTCACTGGTGGTATAGATTGCTGTAGGACCTAATGGTGACATATTATATACTGAGTCTGTTAGTGTACTTGTATTACTACTGATTTGTTTTAGTCTTGATTCCCCTGTACACAGAAGTAGATTATTTGATTGAGTAACAGCCATACCATAGACCTTGGTATTAAAGCTGGATAGTATGTTCAGTTTGGTTCCTTCAGGTTTTACTCTCTGTAATACTTTATCTCTGTAATTATATATCCACAGTGAATCATCATCACAATAAGACACACTAGATACTGCAGATAATTCAGTCTGATATTGTTTATTTATATTTAGTTCTACAACAGTCGGTTGTCCCACATCTTTGGTGTTTACTACCTGATGATCCTTGGCATTTTGGAAATTTGGATGCACTTTTTCTTTACAATGATTGCACAATAATTTACTACAGTCAATACACTTCCACTTTATTGGTCGGTCAGTTTCACATATTCCACATTTAGCTGGGGCTTGACTTCTTATAACAGACTGAGAGAATGCCATTATAGATTAATGATATATTTTCTTCCTGGTGTGTACCTATAAATAATACTACTTTGATAAGTTATATGATCATATATAATGTTTTAGATCATGCACAGCCCTCATGTGTTTTAAACACCTTAGTAGATATGATTTGATTAAACATTTAAATTTTATTCATTCAATGGATATAAACCTACCAATGACCTAAACAATGATTACTATTGATTTTGATTTCAGATATTTTCGTTTGTCTTTATTAGTGGAAACTTTTTTATGGCTGAAATGTTGTACATTATCAATTATATGATTTCAGCAATCATGGTTAGTCAATGTCCTTAAATATTTTGTTTTGTATTTATGATGGTTGTTTAAACATTTAGATTATATTCCTACTATAGATAAATAACTAAACCATATAACGAGCCTACCTGTGTCCCTAACCATTGATTCTATTTTTGTGGATTTTAATCATTTTGCTGTAATTTAAAATTCAAGTTAACCTGTAGTGAAAAAAAACTTCCTGGGATAAATTGTGCTGTAACTAACCTTTATATCTTTCTTAATTGTGTGAACAAGTCATCATCTTCTGCATATTGTATTTTGTTTTAATATATTTCATGTATTTAGCAATAATTATAATTTTTCATTTTCTTATATTTTACAAATTGTGATTTCATACACAAAAAGTTGCATGTTATGATAATTGTATATACCTTAGTATTCGGTTTACTGAATGATTTAAATACATGTACCACAATGCCTTTCCATACGATTTCAGCTCATATATTTGTATGTATATGTATATTAATTACTTCTTGGGTTTTTTTCAGAAGGCAAGCAATCAGAGCTAGTCAAAAGTCTTACTTGTTATGTAGTTGGAAAGGCAACAGCAAAGACAGGTACTGAAGTTTTATGCTATAAATGTGTTCGTCTCATATTCTAGATACAGGAAATTGTATTAAAAATATTTATTCCATTTTCAAATATTATGCCATGACAGACTATGTATCTGGTGCAGCAAAATTACTACCCCTAAAGTTATATTGAACAATATTTCTCATTTGGGTTTTAAAATGGGTGCATGCTTGTCTAAAATTTTTCATGAGTTATGGCTGTGAATACTATTATAGATAAAAAGAAACTGTAGACAAGTAAATTGATCAGCTATACAAGATCTACAAAAATACCAATGTTATTGAAACTATTTATGAATAAAACATACCAAAGACTTCTAGGAATTATTGAACATAAATGGAGAATTTTTACCATTTCAGCAAAAGTGCAGATAGAATATGACACCTGAGAATAATGCATATTAGTGAAAAGTTAAACTTAAAGTATATTAGTTGCATCAGTCTTTATATATTTAACTGATTCTGTCTTTTATTATGAAAATTTTGATAAATTGAAATTAACTCTAAACAAGACAAAAAGGATCACAATACAATATTTACAGAATTGCACATTTACAAATTGAACTGAAATATATTTTTTACTCTATATTGGAGTTAATGCCCTTTAAAGATGACTTTGTCCAATTTTACCATTTTTGCCTATCATCCTGAAAACTATAACGGATATACAGAAACTTAAAAGAGCAAACTTATTAGATGTACAAGATCTACTGTCAGAAGAACTATTTGAAAAAGTGATTTTGAAATCACTTGTAACTTGTTTGAATAATGTTTTGTTCAGAATTATTGCAAATATGAGTTATCTTTCTTTATTTCCAGTTTGAAATTCCTCAAATGAGTAGTTCATTTAGTGTACTAAAAGAAGTGAATTCATATTGTGTTACCTTTTCTCCAAGATTATAACTATAACTTTACTGATATAAATAAAATTAAACTTGATAAAAAAAGCTTAAGTATAAAAAAATACGGAACTGTAAGGCAAATTGAAAAAAGAGGAAGTCCATAAAAACTGACAAAATCAAACTCCATCAATCAACTGAATAAGTGAAAAAAACTACTGCCATATTCCTGAATTGGTACAGGCATTTTCCAAAGAATATGGTGGGTTAAACCTGGCTTTTTAGGTTGCTAAACCTCCCACTTGTATAACAGTTGTTTATAGTTCTGTTATATTAACAAAATTGGGTGAGCCATCCAAACAGACATAAGAGGTTAATGTGACAGTAATTGGGATCCAGCAGCCAAAACGGTGTAAACATACATCACAGACATACAACACAACTGACTCAAAAATTCAAGCAAACATAAAAATTAATCTAACAAAGGCGCCAACAATAAAGGTGAAAATTTTACAATGATGTCAACGAAAAAAGTTTTTGTTGTTGATTGTACTTACCGCATATAGTATACACTTTCTTGATAAAGTAAAAATTAAGTAAATATAAATCCAAGACCAAACAATATAGAAACAACACTGTAAAAACCCTTTGTGTCTGAATCATTTACTGTTAACTATAAGTAAATACTTGCTTGAGAAGTATATGGTCATTTTTTGCTAAAAAAATAATTCTTTCAGGGGTATTTTTTCAGCTGACTCCATTGTATTCAACCACCGAGAACACTTAAAATTTTGGCAGAGTTTTGTTTTTTAATTGCATAATCTCAAAGCTGAAATACAGAAGTTTTTAGGCAAAATAATGCTTCTGTTGGGCAAATTTTGATTATCTTGTGTGCTGAAAAAGTAGTGCAACATGTGCACACTGTTTGTTTTTATTGAATAAACCAAGACCTGATTATTCCTTCACAACAGGTATTTTTGGTAATCTTAACTTTACCATTATTGCAAATTTATGTTGCCATTACAATTTTGCAGACAACAGCCTCCTCACACATTTTTACGCACAAACGGCCATTATGACACACAGTAGTCAATACAGATACTCTACCATGTCTACCAGTAGTATAAATGAAAGTGATAATGATATTGGGAATGAATTACTTTCTGTGCATATGTTGCTTGAAATCAATGTTTATCTTTCTATATTGGCTTCATTGTGAGGAATATGCATGTAGAAACACATTTGTCTGATCTGATCTCAAACACCTTTACTATATAAAGACTCTATTTATCCCCAAACAAACAGATTAAAGTGCCCAACCTGTAATCAGCTGATGGCGGAAATGACAACGGTGAAAGGAAATTTTAAGATTTTTCATTTGGAAATTTTTCACTTATTTTTTTTTTTTTGTGTTTTGTTTATGATAAAATCAAAAGTTGATTATAAACTATTGCATATTACTTTTGAATTTGTGAATAAAATTGATATTTTATCTTAATAATTTCATTTCCAGGTGTAAAACCCTCATTGTTTCACCAATGAAAATTGTTTTATTTCAAGTCTGGTTCAATTCACTTTTAAATTTCAATATCATTCAATTTGTCATAGAAACAGAAATTTCATTAAACCATACTATTCTACATCAAGTAATAAGAAAGTACCTTAAAGGCATATTTTTTAAATTTTTCCCTCCCAGGTAAGTGACTTATTCCAAATTTCAGTTGTTTGTTGAAGAATGGAAACAATCCTGATTTTCAATAATTATTAGCAATTAAGTTTGCATTATTTACTTTTAATATTTTATCAAATAACTTTTTTTGGATTAAGAGTGCACAAAGCACTAATCAAATACTTCTAGTCATGTAAGCTATGTTTCAGCTACCTTTTATTCCAGTTTTTGTTAGCTCAAATCACACAACAGTATACTTTAAATCATATCCATGCCGATATCAAGCAATTTATTAAGATATTCAATTAATGAAATGATGTGTGTAATTATTTGGTCACTTGTCAAGAAAATCAAGTTTTACCAAAAATTACAGAAATTGCAGAAAATAGTAGAAGGTGCATGAATCTCTCTGTTCTGCCCACAAATAATGGACAAAGGGAAATAAATCAATTCAATATATTAGCCTGAACATTTCTTTGCTTTCAAACTGCAATACAATGATTGATTAATTTAAAGTTCACATTGCATAATTGACTATTTTCTTATGGTTGACTTTTGACTCTGGAATATATAATTTTTCGACAGGTTACCTAATCTGTGGTAGGATATTCTGGTACTTGGTCAAGTAAGAACAACTTAAAGAAATAAAAATCAAGCTCATAATATGTGCTATTTGGGGAAAATATTTAAATGTTTCCCTATGATTATGTTGTGTATAGAAAAAAAAACCCAGATAATTTTTCCCCAATTGCAACGATTGTAAGCTTGATTTTACTACTTTTAGTTGCCTTTACTTGACCACATACCAGAATCTCCCACCACAGATGAGGTAACCTGTCAAAAAGTTATATACTCCGGAGTCAAAAATTGGTAATATGAAAATGGACTATTATATTTTTAAAGGCAGTGCTTTAATGCCTTTCTAGTTGCCGGGTTAATCCTTCCTTCCGCGATATCCAACTTATCTACGTGGGGGGTCATTAGACTCCAAGTAGATCCGGAAATGTTGAATTCTCTCCTCTTCTTATTGCGATATAAAATGTTTTTTGTTTCATTTCATTTACATTGGGAAATAGAGAAACGATCATTGTGTTTTGTTAGTTTTAAAAACTTTTGATATATTAGTATTTTGCATTATAAGCAGTCAACCGATTGACAAACTAGAATTATTTGAATTCCGTGTGGAAAGAGCTCGGGTTAATTTCGAGTGTTATCTGCAATCTAGATGTTTATAAATCATTTCAGTCGTTGATATAATAATTAAAGGTCGACTGAACATGAATTATATTATACAATTTAAAGCGCATTTCTGTTTAAGCACGTGAACCCGTCTAACGTTATTTTCGCAGTTATATAAAGTAGCAAATTATCGTTCCTGAATAGGTGGCGCCGTGGTAGCGGATCCTGTTCCTCTTCTTCCGGTTTCTGCACTGTGCAACTATTTCAGTTATAATTTTAATTAACGATGCCAAATACTTGTTGTTGTGTACCTGGATGTCATTTAAGAGGAGGACATGCATTTCCAAATGACTTAAAAAGAAGGAAAAGTTGGATCAACGCCATGGCCCATACGCAGATTGGACGAGAACACGATGATATCGTGGAGTCCATCTCAATCAGCTGTTGTTTGCAAGGCACGTTTTACTGAAAAAGACTACGTGCAGGAAATTATTCATGGTAAAACTCTATTTTCTTTGTGAAATATATAGTTATATATGTAATCGCCATGCGAATAAACCAAAGTCTGTTTACAACCGCAATTATCGTTTTAGAATAAAAGGGGGTGGGTAATTCAAGACGTCATAATTTTTTGGATTACGATTCAATGTGATCTGTTTGAGATTTTTTGGTGATTGCTACAATTATAATGATTTCTTACAAGAGGTATATCATACTGAGAATTATTTTAGCAGTAATTATGCTAATGTAGTAATGACAGGAATGCATAAGCTATGCCTCATAGACTTTCTTGAAAAATATCAATGACAATGTTAACAGGAACAAAACAATGACATGCTCTCATCTATATTATAGTTATTTAGGTACAAACAATGTACGTTTGTTGCATAAGTCTCTCATGTTTGTCCTTTGGATTTACATAACATACATTGAATCAGGCAAACATAGTTTTATCCAGATTGTAATGAATAAATCTAGTTAATATTTCGCCAGGTAGTACAAAGTATACATTGCTAATCAAATGGAAGTTCATTTAATTATAAAAAAACTAATGTTTTATAACCTTTTTCAGGGCGCAAACCCACCATACAGAGACTTAAGTCTACTGCAATTCCCAGCCTATTTTCCTGGACCAAGCAAGAGACTGAATCGTCCGCAAAAAGAAAAATCAGGGCAGTTTCCTGTGAAAACAAAAGAACTAAACTTGATGAATATTGTAGTAGAAATCTAGAGGAAAGTTTTGATTGTAAAGTTGGTTTTCCTGAAGAAGTCATTCATACTGCAGAAAGGATTTATGACTGTCCACCACCAACTGCCGAGCTAATGTTGAGCTTCACAGATGGAATTACGCAAACACCATCAATGTCTATGTTTTCAGCAGAGAATTTTGAAATGAAGACACGTGACACAGCCATGCATTTTTATACCGGTTTAGAGTTTTGTTTTGACCACACTTGGTCCAGCAGCACATTGTTTGAGATACATATATTTCAAATTGATAGGGTGTCAGTTGAAAATCAGTTTTTTTATGACTTTGATGAAATTGAGGCATCATACAACCAACTTTGAACTGTCTAGATTCTAGATTGAATCTAGTGTTAAGAATATTGTGTATACATGGATTGTTTTTATGTCTAAACAGTGGTGTGAGGCTAACACTTGGCCATCTAGTGGTTTAGTCAGGTATTTTTCACCATCCAACTTCAAATTAAAGTTTCCTACGACTTGGATTATTATTGACAGCACAGATTATCCCGTGATATAACCTAAAGCTCCTAGAGCTCAGGCAACCTTTTCATCAAATAAAAACAGAAACACTGAAAATTCTTGAATGTTCGACACCTGGTGATTTAGTCAACTATGTCTCTAGCTATGTCACATAGAGCAAATTATTGGACTTGGCAAAACATACAAAATTCTAATAAATCCTATGAATGGAACTGAAACAAAACTTTCATCTGAAATAACATTTAGTTGTTTTATGTTGTGTAATTTTAGAACTTGTATTGTGCCAAAGGATGCATAAATAAAAGTGACGCAATGAATTTTGTTCTGATATATATATATTTACAATTACATGCACATGTAAATTGTAATGCATATAAAAATAAGGAGATGTGGTATGATATTCAGTGAATTTATCAAACTAAAGTGCATAAGAAATGGGTTTAAGCAGTTACAGGTGTTACTGTCACCGTACTATCTCCAACAATGAGAAAAACTTGTCCCGTGTAAAAAAATTCAGAGATCTTACAACTAAGTTTTGTTGTCTCACCTTGACTTTGGTGAATTTTTTATATCTGTTGATGTAAATATAAAAAAGAAGATGTGGTATGATTGCCAATGAGACAACTCTCCACACATGCACAAGAGACCAAATGACACAGAAATTAACAGCTATAGGTCACAGTACGGCCTTCAACAATGAGCAAAGCCCATACCGCACAGTCAGCTATAAAAGGCCCAGAAATGACAATGTAAAACAATTCAAACAAGAAAACTAACGGCCTATTTTATGTAAAAAAATGAACAAATATGCAACACATAAACAAACGACAACCACTGAATTACACTTTTGTAGGCTGCTGACTTGGGACAGGCACATACATGTACATACAGAATGTGGCGGGCTTAAACATGTTAGCGGGATCCCAACCCTCCCCCTCACCTGGGACAGTGGTGTAACAGTACAATATAAGAAAGAACTATAAAAATCAGTTGAAAGAGGCTAAACTCATCAGATGGATAAATACAAATACAAGTGGACGTGGTCAGGTAGTTGTACATCCAAACAACAAAAAGACACTAAGTACAAATCTGAGAGTACTCGCAGTTACTGACAGCTAGTTCAAAGCCACTAACAACTGATAAAAAAATCTTGCATCTAAGACTAAATTATCAATCCGTAAGCTCCCTTTAGAATTTTATAAATTTTAGATTTTACATTTCTGAGTTAAGGGGTTTTATTCATTAAAAAAGGGGGGATTTTCCAGTTTTTCGACAACAACTCAAAAATGCTTTAAGCAGTTCACATGAAACTTTGGTGAATTATTTATAGCTATTGATGTAATCTCCCTATTGATTTTCATAAATTTCAAATATGACATTGAGAAGAAATTGAACTTTATTTGTTTATAGTCTGGCAACAGATTTATTAAGTATTGCACAACAGCAAGAAATCTTTAATTGAATATAAATTCAATTCATATAACCGATTTCAAGTTCATTGACTACATTTATTCAGAAACTATAATATGTCAAATATTTAATTACAATCCAAATTCAGACCTGTATCAAGCTTGAATATTGTGTCCACTTTTGCCCCAGCTGTTCAGGGTAGTACCTCTGCGGGTGTATCCAGCTGCGCTCAGCGAATCAGTTTATTTCTTAATTAGGAACTCCTTTTTATACGACCGCAAAAAAATTTTTGTGGTCGTATATTGGTATGACGTTGGCGTCGTCGTCGTCCGAAGACACATTAGTTTTCGCACTCTAACTTTAGTTTAAGTGAATGGATCTCAATGAAATTTTAAAATAAGGTTCAATACCACAAAGGGAAAGTGGGGATTGATTTTGGGGGTTATGGTACCAACAGTTAAGGAATTAGGGACCAAAAATAAGCATTTTTGTAACTTCCAGACATAACTTGTGTGTAAGTGTATGGATCTCTCTGACATTGTACCACAAGGTTCCATATCACAAAGGGAATGCTGGGATTGATTTTTGGGGGTAATTGCCTCCAAATTTTAGGAATTAGGGGCCAAAAAGGGGCAAAAAACAAGCATTTTTCTAGTTTCATGACAATAACTTGTGTGCAAGTCTATGGATCTCTCTGACATTGTACTGCAAGGTACCATATCACAAAGGGAATGCTGGGATTGAATTTGGGGGTAATTGCCTCCAAATTTTAGGAATTAGGGGCCAAAAAGGGGCAAAAAACAAGCATTTTTCTAGTTTCATGGCAATAACTTGTGTGTAAGTGTATGGATCTTTATGAAATTGTACTACAAGGTTCCATATCACAAAGGGAAAGCTGGAATTGAGTTTGGGGGTAATTGCCCAAAAAGTTTAGGAATAAGGGGCCAAAAATAAGCATTTTTCTAGTTTCCAGACAATAACTTGTGCTCAAGTGTATGGATCTCTCTGAAATTGTACTGCAAGGTACCATACCACAAAGGGAATGCTGGGATTGATTTTGGGGGTAATTGCCTCCAAATTTTAGGAATTAGGGGCAAAAAGGGGCAAAAAACAAGCATTTTTCTAGTTTCATGACAATAACTTGTGTGTAAGTCTATGGATCTCTCTGACATTGTATAACATGGTTCCATATCACAAAGGGAATGCTGGGATTGATTTTGGGGGTATTTGCCTCCAAATTTTAGGAATTAGGGGCCAAAAAGGGGCAAAAAACAAGCATTTTTCTAGTTTCATGGCAATAACTTGTGTGTAAGTGTATGGATCTTTATGAAATTGTACTAAAAGGTTCCATATCACAAAGGGAAAGCTGGGTTTGAGTTTGGGGGTAATTGCCCTAAACGTTTAGGAATTTGGGACCAAAAAGGGGCCAAAAAACAAGCATTTTTCTAGTTTCCAGACAATAACATGTGTTCAAGTGTATGGATCTTTCTGAAATTGTACTGCAAGGTACCATACCACAAAGGGAAGGCTGGGATTGAGTTTGGGGGTGATGAATCAAGGGGGTTCAAAAAATTTGGGGGGGGATTCTTTTTCCTTTTTTTTCTTTAAAATTTTAAATTGGTTATTTCTGATTTATATATAAAAGCAAATAATAATGATATGGTTTGAATAGGTAAATTAAATTTCTTTAAGTATCTTAGACCACTTTCATTCTGTGTCAGAAACCTATGCTGTGTCAAATATTTAATTACAATCCAAATTCAGTGCTGAATCAAGCTTGAATGTTGTGTTCATACTTGCCCCAACTGTTCAGGGTTCGACCTCTGCGGTCGTATCAAGCTGCACCCCAGCGGAGCATTTTATTTCATTCATAAATTACTTTATGCTTGGAAATATAATTTTGCTTGGAGTTGAAAGAGTTGACATGTTGCAATGTACATTTACTCTACATAGTTCTATGGTACCAAATCAAAAGTTTATATAAAGAAAGAAGTCAAAGGTTTCCCATCATAGTTTAGTTACATACATTTTTTTTGTACCTGAGGTCGTTGAATATAGATCATTATATAAATAAGGAGATGTGTTATGATTGCCAATGAAAAAACTAAGGATTTTCTTATCCAAGGAATAGATTACCTTAGCCGTATTTGGCACAACTTTTTGGAATTTTGGGTCCTCAATGCTCTTCAACTTTGTACTTGTTTGGCTTTGTTACTATTTTGATCTGAACGTCACTGATGAGTCTTATGTAGACGAAACACACGTCTGGCGTATTAAATTATAATCCTGGTACCTTTGATAACTAATTTGACTATAAACATAGATAAAAAAGGTACAAACTGGACATAATGCACTAGTTCATAAACAAGTGAGAACAATCGCCTTCATATAGTGCTCAGAATATGACATTCATAAAACTTATTCAATATCATTAGAGAACTCTAAATCTTAAATACTGAAAGCCACCTCTGATAAGTACACTGTACTATGCAAGATAATGATATAACTGGACTTAAAATACACACAACCTGTAATTAACTGCCTTTACAGCGCTTTCGTGCTTTGATTAATGAAAAGCAACTGTTTACTCCTTAGTATTCTAAAGCATTCTGATTATATTTCAGTCAGTAAAACAAATCTGAGAATGCGAATTAGATATAATAAAAGTTATCAATGTTAAGAGTTGTACCTTATGTTGTTTTATTTCAGCTAGACAGCTAGGATTCAGTCCTAATGGAGAAGATTCTGGTAATGCTGATAATCTTTGTGATTGTATACTGCTAGGTTTGTACAGTTTTAACACATAAGATCACCTTGTAGTATTTTATCAGTGGAAAAATTCATTAATGGTTTTTAGTAGTGTTAGATTACTGTTTCATTGGCTTATACACAACATTTTTTTTTAAACATATATGGAATGATTTTGACACAAATAAGTTATGACTTATTTATAAAATATTATACCAGTATATATTATTTAACAAAACTAAGGTTAAAATTAAGTAAATGATTGGTTGAAGATAAGAACTAACAGTGTTTATGTATCCATCCGTAATTTACAGCATGATAATTTCAGTTGACAGAGAGGGTTCTATGCAAAGCAAACATCATCACTTTGGCATATATCTTTTTTTCACTTTTTTAATTTCTTTGGTGCATTAAAGCAGGATTTTACAAGTTTTCTTTTCTAAAACATTAATTTTGAGTAAGATAAAAGAAACATGTAAATTTTGCTTATTTCAAAATTATGAATATTTGACTGGTTTGTCTAATTATGTTATGGATAACCGAAAAGAAGAATGACTGGATTTCCATAAATTTTTGTATTAAGGCTTCAATACAAAAATATATAAATGGAATGCTTTATCCGTAAAGCACATCCAATTTTATGATAAGGTAAAGTTAAGCCTTTTCACAATCAGGAAAATGTAATAAAACTTTATTTGCAAAAAAAAATCTGTTTATACAGTGTTCCAGCTAGGTCGTTTTCACAGGGTGGTCCGCCCGCCCTTTCCCGAGTGCCGCCCTGTGCCCTTTTTACAGTTTGCAGGGCGCCCTGCCTTTTTTGAAGATCGATTGGTATATTATTTGTTCGTATTGATATGATCAGCCAATTACGAAAATTTACCTGGCGACAAGATATATGACTTTGTTTACGACCCCAAGCTAATCAACGGTTACAACAGGTGTCATAATCTGTTGTTATAGGTAATCCGTTTATCGGATGGGTCATTTAATGATCATCAACATTAATTCATTCAAATAGAATCGGTCAGTCGGCATTTGTCTTTGAACTTGAAGAAATGTTCATACAACTTGGGCACAATTAGCAATGTTTACCGTAGTTTCATGGAGAAAACGTAATTGACAGAAAGTTGAAAACCATAATCATCTCGTTAAAAACATTGCTCTTATTGTTTCCGTGAAATAAATAGCAAATTAAGACGTATTTTTCATTGACTGCCTTCATTTTTTATACGAAAATAACAAAATCGGCCGCCATATTGTTGATCGTATTTACATCTTCTACATACTGTTTATTATCCTCCAAAGAAGAAGCACACCCAAATAAAGAAAGATAACTCAATCTTATTTTTTCCTAGCATTGAGTAACCTACTAAGATATTATAAAATATGTCTTCATACTTCTGGCTTTAGAATTTATATGTTTAGGTGTTTTGAGTTATGGGAACAGTTAGAGAGGGTCTTAGTAGCAGGGTTGGTAGGGTGCCTTGGTCATCTTTTTCTGTATTTTTTATTTTCAATCCAAATTTTCACTGTTCACTATATCCTAACATTGTGCATTTACAGCTGTTTTGTGCTGTATTGCCATTAAGCACAGAAAAGGTAGAAAGTTGAAACTTGTAAAGTGTGTCAGACCATAGAAACAGAATGAAGCAGGACATTTTTCAAAAAATACTGCATAAAAAGCTTAACTGTGCCAAGCAATGATTTAAAACTTGTGTCACAAGCTGCTTGATAAGTTTTCAGCCTAAAAAGTAGAAAGATAGTTTTTCTCTGGGCTAATGATGTTGTTCTTGTATATTTATAACCAGTGATTCAATGAACAAACAATGTTTGATTATAATCTTTATTAAAACATGCCCTTTTCATATTATCATATCACGCGTTAAATGCCCTTTTTCAGGATTGGCACCCTGCCCTTTTGAAATCCTAGCTGGAACACTGTTATAATAGTTATATTTTTTATTTCAGAAAGGGATAAATCAGAAGAGAGGCCAATTTTATTTCCATGTAGTAATATCAGAAAAGATACTATAATAGAAAGACTATGTTCTAAAGGTACCGAACACTATAAGTTTTATTATTTTCCTATAGAAGACTGATCTATTTAAGATTTTAATTGGTTTATTTATTTGTAAAAAATTTAATAAACAGTTTTAAAAAAAATTATATTCATGTAATGGTGTCATGGGAATAGAAATTGCTGTTGAACATTTCTAGAAATTGTTAATACCTCATAATAAATACATTTATCCATCTAATGTAGATGTGAAATACTGTTACCTTTTCTATTTCCTTTAAACACCTGAAAGAAATATGTGATGCTATCTTATGAAATTGTCCTTATGCAGTCTTTTCATCTATCTTCTATGTGACTTGTTATGTTTTAGGGGTGCCAGTAGAGGAATTAAATGTATATGAGACAGTACATAGAGATGACATTACAGATGAAATTAAAAGATTGGTTGATAAATATGTAAGTCTTGGTATGAATATGATAGGGTATAAATACTTTCTACTCCCAAGAGTAAGACTGCAAAAATAAGCAAGTTTTAAAGACAGAAAACATACAAAATCTTTCGAAAACAACAGGTATGTCTCAACAGAAGATCAAAAGATATCTAACTGTCAACATACATTCAGTATTTAAGGAAAGACTGTAATATTTTTTTCTGGCTATGAAAAAATAACATAAAAAATGAGATGCACTAAAAATAAATCACATAGCAGGTTATTTAAAAGTGTGCACCACATTTTTGAGGTTATTTCAAATAGACAGAAAAAATATTTCAGTTATTCCTTATAATTTAATTTTATTATAAAATTCAATTTTTAAGGAGTAAATCACGAAAAAACATTGATGACTTCACCGTCGTATGACAAAAATATGTATATGAGCTGATAGACAAAAAACTTTCAACCAATCAGAAGACGTGTTACATCTAAAATGAAATAATTTTCTAATGTTCCTAATGGGCTGAGTGTATGAACAGCTTGGCAAGTTATACTGTTTTATAATGTGGCTTTGTTTCTGAATGTAGTCAATAAGGTTGTTCTTTTTTATTTTGATGTAAAGCAGGTAAGACATATCTGATTGATCTGATTGTCAACAATATATGATATTTATAGATTATTACATGGCATTTTCCATATTGGCCCTGGTATCAGCCCTAGACTCCCATATCAAGCCAGAGGGCTTTAGCCCGAGGGCTTGATATGGGTCGTGGGCTGATACCACAGACCATATGGAAAATGACATGCAATAATCTATTTATCACATATTTTCAAGCAAGAGAAAAAAGATAGCATATACCAAATTATGTTTGATATTTTCAACAAAAATTCAAAGAAACATTTAACGAAAAAAATTTTAAAAATGTTTCACAGTGAGTTAACAAAGTTCGTATCCCAGTGAGTAAACAAAGTTTTGTGAAAAGTTTAACAAATAATTAACAATAAATATATTAATTCTCAGAAATGTAAATATTAAACGACTAAAAGTGTTACATTTCCAATTAATGCTGACGAAGAATACACCATATCACTACTATGATTTGGAAATATGTTCCGCTTGAACTTTCGATGTCATACAACAATCACTTTTCACTGTGGCGTCATATATTTTCTAAATTCTTTATGACGTCCAAATTTTACGGGAACTTTTGTGATTTCCACTGTTGATTTTTTACATTTTTTCTACTACAGCAGATTCATAAATTTCTAAATTTCTTTTCATTGTGTTCTCATTTTTCATTTCTTGTATGAATTTACATACATCGTCATTTGATCTGTGAGAAACCTCTCCTGATCGTCTAACTGCTTTGGATGACAACTTGTTTACAAATAGTTTTTGATTGACAGGTTACCGGAAGTTAAACTCGGGGGCTCGATATGGATTTCAAGGGCTGATATCGATATTGGCCCAGAGGGCTGATAACCAACCTTGACTTCCGGCTATTATTGGCCATGCAAAAACGTACATATCAGTACAAAATATGTGATAAAAGTTGTTATTATAAGTGGCCTTAATTTTTCAGTCTTAACTTGAATTCTTAAATGATGATAAAACTTTTGCTATTTCATATCAATATTAACAGGTCAACTTCTCTATTTTTATGCCCCTGCTGCTAGGCAAAGGTGGCATTAAGTGTTACCCTTGACTGTCTGTCCTTCTGCCCATCCTATTTTCGTTTCCACACTCCAAGTTAAGTTTTCCTCATTCAAGTTTTATGAAACTCCTACACAATGCTCAAAAGCAAAATTTGCAGACAGGGTTTGAATTTGGGCAGTGAGTCACCAACTAGTCTACAGTTATGCCTCTTTATAATTTGGAAAATTGCAAATTTGTTCGTTTCCACACTCTTGCTTAAGTTTGCCTCAACCAAATGTTATGAAACTTATACACAATGCTTATACCACCAAACTCAGATCAAGTTCGAATTTGGATGATGTCACTTTCACAGTTCTTGAGTTGTGACCCTTTATAAACGGAAAAATTGCAGGATTTACCATTTTCGCACTTTAACTTTACTTTGCCACTCAAACACAATGCTTATTACCACCAAAAGCAGATTAAGGTTGAATTTGGGTGACATCATTTACACTGTTACCCTTTATAACTGGACAAATTGCAGAATTTGCCATTTCCCCACTCTTGCTTTACTTTGCAACAACTAAATGTGATGAAACTTAGAATAAATTTCATTCCAGTGTGGACATGGACACCTGATATTTAAATGATATCGTGTCGGTCACTGGCTGTCGGCAACAAAGACCTCACGCAATTACAGTATGTCAGGGGCCTCTCAATGGGGATATACATAATTACTATCTTTACACATGTTCATTCATAAAATAATTTTTTTTGCATGAAAGTTTATAGGAATTTGTTTTGAATATATTAATATACTGACAGCAAAAAGTTTCTTTTGAAAGAATGAGTATATTCAATAGCCAAAATAAAAAAAAAAATGCTTTATTTGTAAACAAACACTAATACATGCATTGACGGGGGCATACGTATGCTAAATTATACATGTCCGTATAAGGAAATGTGCCCGACCTGTTAAATGCAGCTGTTCTGTTGATTTGATTTAGAATTGTACTTATTTTTTTTAATTTGTGTTTCAGTATCTATCCATGAATTAAATATGTTCAGAATACCTTTTATACTAGAGTATTTAAACGAGTGCACCCAGTTTAAAGGTTATTATAACACTATTACTGTTATCTTGACATAATAACCTGTACATTATCTCGTGTTACAGTTGACAAGTTTAGTCTTGTGCACATGATTTATTATTCCTAAACAGATGTATTGTGAACATATCATTAAATTCATGGATATATATTGAAACACAGAAACCGCAAAAGAAGTGAGTACACTTTCAAATTGTAGGGGGGCGACCATTCCTGATACAGTTAAAACAAGGGAGGGGTGGCTATGCAAGAGGCTTTTGAAATCACCAAGAATAAAATTGCAAATAAACGTTTATGCAGAATTGTCTCAAATATGTGTCAGCAAATAACCAAATTCATTGAAATAACCTGCTTAATTTGTAGTAAAAGAATATAGATCCCTTAACTTTTGTTATACGTGTTCAGGTATCGAAAATAAATATTGACCAATGTTTCCACAAAAGCTACTCTGAATCCAATCAACGTAAATTTTGCACACAAGACCGGATTCATATGCTTCTTGATATTTTCACGAGTTATTTTTTGTTAGAATGATATTTAAATGTTCACGAAAATCTGATCATTGGAGTCTTCAATGGGAATTCAAATTTGTTCCGTGCAAAAAATTATGCACCTCAGAGGACTCAAATAATTTTTTATGAAGGTCCGGGGTTCTTATTACCAACAAAAATAATCTTAGTATGAAAGTTGATTGTAGGTTACTCTACATCAACCTCGTACAAATAATTGTGTTTTATTTTTTAAGGAGCCACAGAACGTTTGTGCAAGAAAAAACGTAACTTTTTTTTTTCTCAATTACTTGGTGATATCACCTCTGAATATACTCATTCTGTCAAAAGAACTTTTTTGTTGTGAGTATATAAATATATAATAATAAATTGCTATAAACTTTCATGCAAAACTTTTATTTTACGAATGAACATGTGTAAAGATAGTAATTATGTTTATCCCCATTGAGAGGCCCCTGACATACTGTAATTGCGTGAAGTCTTTGTTGTCGACAGCCAGTGGTACACACGATAACATTTAATTACTATGTGTCCATGTCCACGCTGTTATGAATTTCATTCTATACACAATGCCTATTACCACCAAACACATATCAAGTTAGAATTTGGGTTGCATGACTTTCACCGTTCTGGCGTTATTGTCCCTTTATAAATAGAAAAATTTCTTAATTTGCTGTATATTTACAAGCAGGGGCATCTGTGTCCTATGGACACATTCTACTTTTATTTATATTACTTGTCCTCTGATACAACTGCACTTTTGTTTATCTGTAGGGTAAACCATTTGCAGTTGTATTCTTCAGTCCATCTGGAGTTCAGGCTTTAAAGAAGAATAATCTGTTAGAGATTTTAAGATCATCAAAGGTAAGCTTTTTAAAATAATTCATGAATCAAAGGATGATAAATTAGAGCAGCATCAAAAATAGTCAGTTTCAATGTGTAATTGTGTGAAGTATAAAGCTAGTTTCTATGGTAATTTTGCATGTTTTCAGTTTGTCAGAATATAAACAAAAGTTATTTCTGTGACAGTTTCTAATGAAGTTATACTCCTTTCCATGGATAATTGTTAAAATTGCAAATGTTGAACTGTATTTTGTTATGTTGGGGGCCATTTATAGTTATCTATGCAGTATGTGTTTTGCTCATACTGTTCAGGCATCCTATCTTGCTAACATCTACATCATTTGGTCTCTGGTAAATAGTTATCACATTGGAAATCATAGCACATCTCTTTATTTTATGATGATCTGTTAAAAGAGTTCTCTCAATGAGTTCTGATGGCCTGTGGGAAGATAAAGTTTTGTCACCAATGAAAACTTTGATTTCAGTCTGACAGACTAGAATGTCAGACTATGACAGAGTCTGTATAGTAATTAACCTACGAGATGTCACATTACTGTTTGGAAGATATTTCGATATAAATATATTTTAGTGATTTATAAGTTCCCATAGCTTTGTTAGTATCTAGATGTTTAAGTTTATTTGCTTTGTTTAAAGAGACCATACAACAAGGGTATTTCCCCCCAAAAAAATGATGATTCAAAGACTAGAGGAGAGTGTTTGATTGCCATAGTTTATAATTGGTAGAGAAACTTACATCATGGAATTTATCTTAAGCTTAAATTTCCAATAAGGCACACATTTGATCCAAAATTTAGGGCAATTTAATAGTTCATACAAAATCTTAAATTTGGTCTAATATGACTTGGATAATAGTTTTTAGGAAATGATATTTTTTTTACATTTGCTGAGTTACTATAGCAACAAAGCATGATTTTATTAGTAAAGAATGTAACATATCTTTATTTTCATTGTTTTGTATCAACTTTGACTATATTTTGGATTGAAAAAGTATGGGTGCATCAAATTTCATATTTATATATATATTTGGTTGAATTATGTAAATAACTAAGAAAGCTTCTCTAAAAAAATGTTGTCTTTTTGCTGCTGTCTCTGTTTTGCTGGGTGGGAAGTGGCATAAGATCATAATTTTCTTTATTTTCTTAAAATATGGGCATATTAGATATATTATAAATTATGTCTCATTTATTCATATTTCTTGCTTTTATGTATTTTGCTAAATCATGAGCAAATTTGAAGTATCTCCCCAAAACTCAATTTACCTAAATGCCTCTTTTCCTTTTATTTTTCATAATTTTATTCTTCATCAATTATAACTTTTTTACTTCGTTTTGGCATATGAACAATAATTTCTTGCAAAATGCTACAGCAGTTATTTGGAACTTTATTGAAGGCTATTCCCCTAGATTTTATTGATTGGCAGATGTATTGAAGCTCTACTTACAATAGGAAGTCTAATTAATAATATTGTAAAAAAATAAATACCCTTCAAAATCTTTAATCTTTTAAGAAAAACTAGTAATCATTTAAAAAAAGTATTGTTTTGTAATCTTAGATAAGTTATGATAAGTTATGAACCTGTTCTTCTGGTTTCTAAAAACCATTTACAGACATGTTTCATGCAAAAAAAGTTAGCATGTAAAGTTGGTTAAAATAACAAGTTGAAATGATATTTAAACAAAACCATGATTTGCAGATCTGAAACTGTTGTTTTAGTGATTTAATATTGTTTCATGTTAACCAATGTTTGATAGAAGCAGTAATTTTCAGTGATATAACAACTGGGTAACACCATTGCTTACAAACTGATATCTTTATCAAAATGGACAATTGGGGTTGTTAAATAAAATTGAATACTCTTAAGGGTATCACACAGTCATTAATGGAATAGAAAAAAAAACATATTTATGTTTGTAAGTCATGTTAATTGTAAAAAAGAAACACTAACTTGTGCATCTACAGTTTTTATACGCCCGTTTACGGGAAGTATTATGGTATACCGTTGACCGTCTGTCCGTCCGTCCATAGTCAACATGTCGGACATTAACTCAAAAACGCTTAAACCAATATGCATGAAACTTTGGTGAATTGTTTATATCTATTGACGTGATCTCCCTTTCGTTTTTTATAAATTTCAGATTTACCATTTCCAAGTTTTGGGGTTTTATTCATTAAAAAAGGGGGGATTTTCCAGTTTTCGGACAATAACTCATAAACAATTTCACCAATTTGCAAGAAACTTTGGTGAATTGTTTATTTCTATCGACATGAGCTCCCTTTTGATTTTTATAAATTTCAGACTATACGTTTCCGATTTATGGGGTTTTATTCATTACGGAAAGGGGGATTTTCCAGTTTTTCGGACAATAATTCAAAAATGCTTTATTAAACTTTGGTAAATTGTTTATATCTATTATTGTAAGCTCCCTTTTGATTTTTATAAATTTTCGAATTTACATTTCTGAGTTATAAGATTTTATTTGTTTATAGTCTGACAACAGATTTACTAAGTATTGCACAACAGCAAGAAATCTTTCATATAACCAATTTCAAGTTCTTTGACTACATTTATTCAGAAACCTATAATATATCAAATATTTGATTACAATCCAAATTCAGACCTGTATCAAGCTTGAATATTGTGTCCATTTTTGCCCCAACTGTTCAGGGTTGGACCTCTGCGGGCGTATCCAGCTGCGCTCAGTGAAGCAGTTTATTGGTGTATCTGTTCCTCTATGATAGAAAGATCTTTTATGGTATCCTTGGTATTTATTTTTTTATTATGCCCCCGCCTTAGCGGAGGGGGCATTAAGTTTTACCCTTGTCCGTCTGTACAGCCATACGTCCCAAAGTTGGTTTCCGTTCTCTTACTTTTGTTTGCCTCAACCAAATGTTATGAAACTTTTACACAATGCTTATTACCACAAAACACAGATCAAGTTTGAATTTTGGTGGCGTCACTTTAACCCTTCTAGAGTTATGCCCCTTTACAAATGGAAAAATTGCTGAATTTTTCGTTTACGTTCTCTAACTTTAGTTTGCCTCAACCAAATGTTATGAAACTTATACACAATGCTTATTACCACAAAATACAGATCAAGTTTGAATTTTGGTGGTGTCACTTCTATTGTTCTAGAGTTATGTCCCTTTACAAATGGAAAATTTGGTGAATTTTTCGTTTCCGTTCTCTAACTTAAGTTATCCTCAACCAAATTTTACAAAACTTATACACAATACTCATTACCACAAAACTCAGATCAAGTACAAATTTGGGTAACGTCACTTTTACTGTTCTTCAGTTATGTCCCTTTATAACGTTATATGATATGCAAGCGGGGCATCATCTGTGTCCCATGGACACATTCCCCATTTATTTACACAGACATGTGTTAAAAAAAAAATTATAATTACTGGTTGATAGTTGATATAAATACATATAATAAATTTCATCCCTTATAATTTTTTTAGAAGTTGGTATCAGAGAATCAAAAAAAATATTTTACATTGCCTAACATATTTGTCACTGAAAAATATTGAAATCCTACATTAAAAAAACTATATGTATGAACAACATGGATATTTTCTACATGGACAGTTTCATAATATTTCCAGATGCAAAACAACATGAAATGTGACATTTCTTGCAGAAAATAGCTGATTTCCCTTGTAGTCACTTTGGGATCATAGTTGCATGTTGTTTAAAAATTTAGTTTGAGTCTTGCCTTGACAGAGTAAAATATCAAAACATAGGTAATTATTCTGTTTCCGGCGGCAGCAGTGGCGTCAACAATGTATTAGTTTGTGATTAGGTCAGATATTCAGCATCCTCTGGTTTTATCTATGTAGTGCCATTGAACATTTTGGCCACTAACCCCTACTTTTCTTTTTATAATTTTATTGCATATAGTTCAAAAAGTTATTTTTGAAAATCTTGTTAAATCCTTGTTATTTTTTCATAGTTTTTGAGAGAAAAAAGGTGCCAATGTTAAATGTATGAAAAATCAAGAGAAAATCATTTCCCACAATTTTTCAGTGGCTTATATCTCGAAAAAACAAGGACAGGGACCCATCATTTTTTTCTGCTTTTTTAGTTCCGTTATTTATATAATATCAATTTATGACAGTCTTTTAAAAAGCTTTTTATTTTGAAACAGAGTAGCAAACATCCTTAACAGTTTATTTTAGTATATTTAAAAGCTATGTTCTTCTCATATATTTTATGATGGTATAATACTAAACCCCTAACAGGAGGGATTGTGCCTGATATTCATATGATGAAGACATAATCTTTCAATCATTTTAATTGAGGTCTGGAGCTGGCATGTCAGTAACTGCTAGTAGTCTGTTGTTATTTATGTATTATTGTCATTTTGTTTATTTTCTTTTGTTTCCTATTCTGACATCGGACTCGGACTTCTCTTAAACTGAGTTTTACTGTGCGTACTGTTGTACGTTTGTTTTTTTTCTACATTGGCTAGAGGTATAGGGGGAGGGTTGAGATCTCAAAAAACATGTTTAACCCTGCCGTATTTTTGTGCCTGTCCCAAGTCAGGAGCCTCTGGTCTTTGTTAGTCTTGTATCATTTTTGGAAAATGACGCTATCAGCGGCATGTTTCCGATACCATTGACCAGAACTAACGGAAGTTGATTATGCCTCCGCCTACCGCACTTGGTTTCATATTTACTATTTTACATACTAACTGGAATCTGCTTGTATTACGCTACACTCAAACAAAGTGTTGTAGTCGGACGGGAACCAGTTTACATACGTTATTTTATTTACCAAAAAGATATCTTGACCTGTCCATATGTTTTTTGTTATTTGGTATTTGGAGCTATCCCTTTGTTATATTTTTCATATTTATTCGAGCGAGCTTTCACTTTAATGCACATGTCTTACAATCGTACACAATCGGTATGTATACCTGATAAATAGGTCCGTTTTGTTATGGTGTTGGACTTTTTACCCTCCAATGATCAGCAATCGCTAGACAAAATAGTTC